GTTGTGTCTATACTAGATTGGTTATGACTGTATGAAAGTCTTCCCTAAAAGTGACGCGATAGCTCAATTGGTTAGACCACTGGCTGTCGCTCCCGAGGGTCCCGGGTTCAATCCTGGGTAACACCCTCGGGATATTTCAGAGACAATTCCAGTGTTTCCAACCTAACCAAAGGTGTACTGGTAAGAAGTCCAGGTAATCCTCACATGTGTCAGTGCTATATACTGGGCATGTTAAAGAAACAAGGGATCTTTTCAATAAGAGCTAGGGACTGGTTCCCAGATTCCTTTGTAACTCATAGCTTTCTCTCTGAACTGACTAGTATAGAGTCATGTCTACCAAAAAAAATCGACCTAAGAAGCTCAGCTTAGCATCCTTGATGATGTTCTGCCCTGAATACTATGTTACATTACAAAAAGGCAAGGGATACTAGTATTATAATGGTATCACTGTGTCCAAATCTGTGGCACCTGGTAGAATAACCAACTTTCCTAGCTGGATAGTCTTTTCACACAGAGAACCCAGGCCTTTAAAAAAAAATCTGAGTTTTGTCATCAATCGAGGGATTTTCATTGGTCAGCATAAATTCTGGGTCAATTGCTGACCAGTCTGGTTGGTTTGGTTTAAACATATTTATTTAAGCCGGATTGCTAAACAAGTTCTTGCAACTTTTATTAATCTCTTTGGAATCCACTTCCTGGAACCAACCAGTACTGGCATCATTTGAAGAAACATGGCCATGACCAGAGTAGGGCTCATATCCATGATCTCTGGGTTGAGAGGCAGACACCTTAACCATTAGGCCATCGCTCCCAACAACTTGTTAACCTTAAATCTGTTTTACTGACTATATAAATTTATGAATAAAAAAAAGTGAACATTTAAATTTTTAACACAAGAAAAAGTTGCAGTCCCCCAACCCCCGGGTATAAATGTTTTTGGGGGGAAAAAGGCATGCATACTGATATTTAAGAAAGCATTAAAAGTAATAAACAACTTTTTCAACAAACCGGGGCAGAATTAGTTAAACAGGCTGAAGTGTGTCCGTCCAAAACTTCGCATGCATGATGAAATTTTCGTCATTTTTACCCAAGTAAAAAAATGGTGGCTTGCGGGGGCCCATGCCCGCCCCTTTTCAATGTTTAGAGGTCAAATTTTAAAGGGGAAATTTTGGTTTTGAAAAAATCTGCATGGTATGGCCCAACCATATGGGGTGTGAAACCCAAAACAATGCTTTAAGGGGTGGACCGGGAATTTAACCCAAATTTTTTCCCTACCCTTGCCTTTTGACTTATTAGTCCCCCCCTGATTAACTGGAGGGGACTAGGTTTGCCTTTTGTCTGTCCATCCCATGTGATAACTCAGAAAGTACCAAAAATATTTTTACTGAACTGGAAATATGGATAGATGGCAATATGCAGAATATTTATGTCTTTTTATATGCCTGTTTCAAAAAATGGGTCATATTAATAGGACCGCCCGCGGTGTCCATTTTGTCCAGAGCTTATCTCATACAGAGGTATTTTATTAAAACTACATAGAAATGTTCACCACTTTAAAAAGTCATGCCCCAGGTCTCTAGGTTAAAGGTAAAGGTTACACTCCGAGCTAATTGAACAAGCAATTATCATAGTACATGTATTGCGAGCAATCCATAAGTCCCCTACCGGTTAGAACCCCAGCAACATTCTAATGGGCCATTGAATGAATGAATGAAAGCAATGAACTTAAATCTTTTGAGTATATCATAGTAATGTGAAGTAAGTAACTGCCAAGTAAGGAAATTATGTTTATACAACAGATAACCAAAAGGTCCAATTTTCTCAGGATGAATAAATATAACAAATGTTTCAACATTGCTCTATTTTAATTAAATTTGTTGGAAAAAATCTTGTCATATTATTATGATGTGGGAGTTTGAAGTATATCCTAAAAGGAATGAATAAAGAAGTTCCTAAAAAAATACCAATTTCTCGAAAAAGTTAAAGGGGGGGGGCATAATTCTGAAAATAGTCTTGCTAGTGTATTGATCCTTCTCACATATGTTGAGTGATAATAAGAAACACCTTTTTTTCATGAAAATTCTTTGTTCAAGGAAGGTAATTCTGGTTTTTTGTGTTTTAGTTTTTAAAAAATTGTCACAAAAGGGGGATGACCCAAACAATTTTAAATTTGAAGTAAATACCTTAAGAAACAAGAGGGCCATGATGGCCCTGAGGTCGCTCACCTGTATATAGGCCCCTCAGCGGGGCCAGTTTAAACCCCAGGGCTTTTATTTGAACAAACTTAGAAAACACCCATTAGAAGATGTTTCATGATGTTAAGTTTTTACTACACACATATAATGTAAAACAATGACCAGCCAAACCAGGGCCAATTTTAACCCAAGGGCTTTTATTTGAACAAACTTGGTAGACAACCATATGAAGATGTTTCATGCTAAATATCTAAGCTCTAGCTCACTGGGTTTTTTAAAAGAAGATTTTTATGTTTTTACTATACAAATATAGTTAAAAACATTGACACCCCAGGGGCGGGGCCAGTTTTGACCCAAGGGCTTTTATTTGAACAAACTTGATAGACACTCACTAGAAGATGTTTCATGCTTAATATCTAAACTCTAGCTATTTGGGTTTTTTCATAGAAGATTTTTGAAGTTTTTGCTGTACATATTAGGAAAATCAATGACCCCCGGGACGGGGCCAATTTTGACCCCAGGGAATTTATTTAAACAAACATGGTAGACACCCACTATAACATGTTTCATGCTAAATATCTTAGCTCTAGCTCTTTGAGTCCTTTAAAAGAAGATTTTTAAAGTTTTTACTATATGCATATAGGGAAAATCAATAACCCCCTGGGGCGGGGCCAATTTTGACCCCAGGGCTTTTATTTGAACAAACTTGGTAGACACTCATTAGAAGATTTTTCATGCTAAATATCTTAGCTCTAGCTCTTTGGGTTCTTTAAAAGAAGATTTTTTAAGTTTTTACTATATGTATATAGGGAAAATCAATGACCCCCTGGGGCGGGGCCAATTTTGACCCCAGGGCTTTTATTTGAACAAACTTGGTAGACACCCATTAGAAGATGTTTCATGCTAAATATCTCAGCTCTAGCTCTTTGGGTTCTTTAAAAGAAGATTTTTTAAGTTTTTACTATATGTATATAGGGAAAATCAATGACCCCCTGGGGCGGGGCCAATTTTGACCCCAGGGCTTTTATTTGAACAAACTTGGTAGACACTCACTAGAAGATGCTTCATGCCAAATATCTAAGCTCTAGCTCTCAGGGTTTTTTTAAAAGAAGATATTTAAAGTTTTTTCTTTCCGTTGCCATGGCAACCAGAGTCCTGCATGGAATTAAATTCTTTGAACAATTTTTAAAGGTGACCACCAAAGGAACATTCCTGTGAAGTTTGGATGAAATTGGCTTAGTGGTTTATGAGGAGATGTCATTAAAGTAAAAGTTTACATACGGACGGACGCCGGACGAAAAGCGATCACAAAAGCTCACCCTGTCACTTTGTGACAGGTGAGCTAATAAAGAAGTTATAGTGAAAAAGCGTAAAAACTGGAAACAAAAATCTTTAAATTCAGTGTATTTGTTGCCATAGCAACAGGAATTTTCAACATTGGAATTAAAAAAAACAAGAGGGCCATGATGGCCCTGAGGTCGCAGATGTTTCATGCTAAACATCTAAGCTCTGAGCTCATTGGGTTTTTTCAAAGAAGATTTTTTTAAAGTTTTTACTATACACATAAAGTTAAAAACAATGACACCACTAGGGTGATGCCAGTTTTGACCCTAGGGCTTTTATTTGAACAAACTTTGTAGACATTAACTAGAAGTTGTTTCATGCTAAATATGTTAACTCTAGCTATTTCGTTTTTTTCACAGAAGAGTTTTAAGTTTTTGCTATACACATATAAGGAAAATCAATGACCCCCGGGCGGGGCCAATTTTGACTCCAGGGCTTTTATTTGAAAAAACTTTGTAGACACTCACTTGAAGATGTTTCATGCTTAATATCTAAACTGTAGCTATTTGGGTTTTTTCAAAGAAGATTTTTTAAGTTTTTGCTATATACATATAAGGAAAATCAATGACCAATGGGGCCAATTTTGACCCCAGGGCTTTTATTTGAACAAACTTGGTAGACACCCATTAGAACATGTTTCATGCTTAATATCTTAGCTCTAACTCTTTGAGTTCTTTAAAAGAAGATTTTTTAAGTTTTTACTATGTGCATATAGGGAATATCAATGACGCCCTGGGGCGGGGCCAATTTTAACCCCAGGGCTTTTATTTGAACAAACTTGGTAGACACTCACTAGAAGATGTTTCATGCCAAATATCTAAGCTCTAGCTCTTAGGTTTTTTTTTAAAGAAGATATTTAAAGTTTTTTCTTTCGGTTGCCATGGCAACCAGAGTTCTGCATGGAATTAAATTCTTTGAACAATTTTTAAAGTTGACCACCAAAGGAACATTCCTGTGAAGTTTGGATGAAATTGGCTTAGTGGTTTATGAGGAGATGTCATTTAAAGTTAAAGTTTACAGACGGACAACGGACGGACGAAAAGCGATCACAAAAGCTCACCCTGTCACTTTGTGACAGGTGAGCTAAAAATGTGCATAATCTCCAGACTGCCATCTTAATATATTTCAAGTTTCATAAAAATATTTTCAGTACTTTTAGCAACCAGATTTTTCAACACAGGAAGAACGCGAGATCCAGTTTATGCATTAAATTTGACATATTTTCAGTCTATTTGTTGCCGTAGGAACCAGATTTATCAACATCGGAAATAAAGAAAAGGACATGCATAATCTCCATGCTGCCATCTATCCATATATTAAGTTTCATAAAAATATTTTCAGTACTTTTTAAGTTATCGCGAGATCCAGTTTTGTGGACTGACAGACGGACGGAGGGTAAACCTAAAGTCCCCTCCAGTTGAACTGGTATGGGAATAAAACAACTTTACTTATATTTCCGTCTCTATAATTTATTATAAATCATAATACAATCAATAACAAAACAATAACTTTCTCCATATTTTCATAATTTCTCCAGATTTTCATAAATTACTAGTATATGAACCTATTAAATTGTGCAGTATAAATATAGGGGTCACAGTGCTATTTGCCCCCATTTATAAAATTTCTTAAAGGCATGTTTTTCCTCAGAAATCCATATTCAATGTGTTTTGAAGGTAGCAAAATGTTAAAGTAATATTTTTACTTCCATACAAAATTCTAATTCACTATAATTATAACAATTGCCAACAAAGCAAAATGAGCATAATATACAATTTATCTATATGACAAATAAGTAATTTTTCAAAAACTAACATGATAATAAAAAATTAAAGTTTAAATGACATAAAAATGATAGCATTTCTGAGTTAACAACTTTGATGCTGTTGCCAGGGTAGTCTGACCAGTACTTGGAAGTCTGCAATATGGATTATTCAATATTCAATTAAAGACAAATCCGTTACACATTTGCAGGGTAAAATAACTCTTCAAACGGTGCTTTACTGCATGTTTGTAACGTCACTTTTCATTGGACAATCACAACGTTTATATAGTTTTATATACATGGCTGCTGTCAATTTTCTCAAAAAAGGAAGTTTGCGGATTATAAATTTGTTATAAATATTCCTGACAGGTAATATGGCCGTATATAAACGGTTGTTTGCGATATAACCCTCGCCTAGCAGCTCAGGTTATATTTCCAAACAAACATGTATATAGGACCATATGACGTCAAAAATATTTATAACTAATAATATACATGTATAAACTTTGTTCACAACTGTTACATTTAACTTATTTCAAAACAATTAAATGTGACTGGATGTATAATACGACACCAGTACATTAAGTAATTTCATTGTTCTAGACTTGCATTGGCTTAATGTCAGTGCATTCTCTCTCTGTTGCTATGGTAACAATATCACTGGTAGTTCTCTCTCTCTGTAGTTAGTCAGGGTGTTCACTAGCCATGAAATCCTGAGTGTCATTTTGACCAGATACAAGGTCAAATCCCCATGATTTTAATAAAAATTTGACACTCAAGTTAAAATCCTGAGGGTCAAATCGGGTCTTTTTAAAATTAGAAGGTCATTTCAAGCGTCAAACGGACACACTGGCAGCTATGGTAACAATATCACAGGTAGTTTTCTCTCTCTGTTGCTATGGTAACAATATCACTGGTAGTTTTCTCTGTTGCCATGGTAACAATATCACTGGTAGTTTTCTCCCTTTGTTGCTATTGTAACAATATCACTGGTAGTTGTTTCTGTTGCTATGGTTACAATATCACTGGTAGTTTTCTCTGTTGCTACGGTAACAATATCACTGGTAGTTTTCTCTCTCTCTGTTGCTATGGTAACAATATCACTGGTAGTTTTCTCTGTTGCTATGGTAACAATATCACTGGTAGTTTTCTCTGTTGCTATGGTAACAATATCACTGGTAGTTTTCCATTATCATCAGAGGTTCTATCTGTCCAGTTGCTGCATTCACTGCGGCTACAGGGAAGTTTTGCATGGGCACTGCAGCACCAGTTGTAATGTACGTGATGGGAGCCTGTGTTGTTAAATCTCTAGGTTCCTCCTGTAACAGAAAACATTTTTTTTTTACAAATTTAGTCAAAATTCATTAAACATTCTTTTTCCATTTATGATTTAGATAAACAACTTGACAGTTTCAACTGATGGAAGGAAACAACAGCTTTCAGTTTCCGTCTATGCATTAGGCACTAGCAATCACTTTGTTATATTCTGTTTTATTCTAACACGACCAGCATTTTTTCCTATTAAACAGAGAATGTGCAATAAAATCACTGTTGACGATCTACATCTGAGCATGTGATGTGTTCATTAAAAATGTGATTCTCTAAAAACTAAGTTCAAAAACAAATCAGGCACAATTTAGCTTGATATCAGGTACTGCATCATTTATTTGTTGATGTTGTGTAACAACTGCACAGAATTATATCACTCGTGCTACACCCTCGAGGTATAATTCATTGCATCTGAATTCCAAACAGTGATTATATTTAGCGATAAAATCACTGTTGAGGAATACATATTTGGTATTTCATATTTAATATTTCAAACTTCAATCAAGCAGGATATTTCAATTCATATCAAGGCATTTCAATTACACACATTCAGCATGTTAAAGGGACTCCACTGAGGTTTTGAGACATGACGGGACTGGAAATATTTATCTGGAGATTTGATTACCAATTGATGTAGGTCTGATCCAAAATCTTGTGTGCAAATTTTCTGTTTTTTTCAGGATAATCATTTCTAATGTGAAAAATAGCCCAAAAATGACAAGCGACCGGCTTATAATGCCATAATAAATAGTTTTTCAATTGAGTATATTTCATTCTTATCCTTTGCAGATTTTTCAATTTTAAGTGCTTTACTTGATATTTGTTAGATTTTCAAATTTAACGGGTTTTTTTGCCTTTAGACCTCAGTGGAGTTCCTTTAAGGAGTTATAAGTTTTTATATTCTATCTTACCTCTATAACTGTTTCAACGGTCTTTTTCTCATCTTCATAGTCATCGGACATTAACGTGGTCACATCCTGGCTTGATACTGGTGTAAACTCTATGTACGACCCTTCACTTACAGAACTATTTACATTCAGTAACGGCTTCTTCCTCGGTTTCTTTTCACGTACAGGTTTCTCCTCACTCTCCTCTTTTACATGGTTTGTCTGCATGTGATTTCTTAAATCTCGTTTATGTATAAATCCTTTCTTACACACCTCACACCAATGATTTTTGACACCAGTGTGAATTTTTTCATGTTGTCTCATATTACTTTTGTCGTTGAAACTTTTGGCGCAGTATTGGCAACTAAATGGTTTAATGTTTTGATGTATGTATATATGTCTGGTGAGATCATCTTTATCACCATACATCTTGTGACACATGTCACACTCATATAACCTTATATTAGTTTTCTCTTCTATTTCATTCTTCATTTCCGGATGGAACTTTGCCAGATGACCTTTATACATGAATATTGACCTAAATTTCTCCTCACAGTACGCACATGGCCACCTATAAGCGATGGTGTGATCTTTACGATGGTGATTAAGACGACCAGGTTGTTTGAACATTTTACCGCAGACGTCACACACATAGGGATGTGTGGTACTATGGTTACGTAGATGTTGTTTCAGGTTAGAGTAACTACGAAACGCTTTAATACAACCCTGAAAATATAAAGATCATATATAATTAATATACCATGACATGAAATGAATGAATGAATGGATGAATGAATGAAATGAAACAAGTTAATATTTGACAGATGCAGCTAACCAGAAAGCAACATGTATAACCTTAATAGTAATGATATTACGATACTTGGTAACCAATATCTTTATTACACGATATTTTGTACCATAATAAAGGAAATAGAAAACATAACAAGTAGTTTGTTTGATTTCGGTTTTACGTCACACCGACACAGTATAGGTCATTTTGCGACATTCCAGCTTTACTGGTGGAGGAAGACCTCGGGTGACCCCTCCATGCATTTTGTCAGGCACGAACGGGCACCCGAGTAGAACCACCGACGTTCAGTAAGCTAGCTGGATAGCTCCCTCACATGAAAGAATCCAAAGTCCCTGCCGGGATTCGAACCCACAGCGGTGAGGGGCAAGTGGTTTGAAGTCAACGACCTTAACCACTCGGCCACGGACGCCCCCTATAACAAGTAGTACTAACTTTATAGCATAAACACTGAAAAGTCAATTTTAACCGTAAGCTTGATGGATCTACCCTTGCTAACAGTGCAGGCCGAGATCAGGTACAGTGCAGGCCCAGATCAGCTGGTAAATCTATGCATGATGCACCTGATCATGGTCTACACTGTTACATATTCTATCAGTTCATATTTTTAAATATTCCCCAAATATGATGAATGGTTGTGTATAGAGTGAAAGACTGACAAGTTCATTTATTATATTCAGCATGGTAAGGGTTAACTACAATGTATTCAGCTAATGAAAAAGATCTAAGTTACAAAACAAATGAGCCGCAACACAACAAAACCAACATAATGGGTTTGCGACCAGCATGGATCCAGACCAGCATCCGCGCAGTCTGATCAGGATCCATACTGTTCGCTTACAGACCCTATAAAAAGTAAAGAAACTGAAAGCGAACAGCATGGATCCTGATCAGACTGGGCAGATGCGCAGGCTGGTCTGGATCCATGCTGGTCGCAAACGCATTATGCTGGTTTTGTCGTGAAGTGGCTCAAATATAAATTGGATGAGATTAAAATCACCTCTTTAGTACACTTGTATGGTTTTTCTCCAGTGTGCAGCCTCCTGTGATTGTCCAGTAATGATTTTCTCCCATACGCCTTACCACATAACTATTTTAATATAAATGCACATGATAAAGTTAAACAGTTTGACTGTACTCTAAAATTCAATAAGCAACTACATATACATGTAGTTCAGAATTTTTACTTCTACTTCTTTTTGCTTCTAGTACAATAGCTTATCATTTAACTTAGAAAAAGATAAGAGTAAATAAACATTTTTGACAGGTCATGTGGCCTTGTATAAACAATAGTTTAAGTGTTAAATGCAAGTTTTTTAGCATTGATTGGTTCTACAGCAAGGTACAATTTTTGTTTTTTGATTGGGTTTTTTGTCGCACCAACACAGTATGTCGTATGGCGACTTTCCAGCAGCATTACTAGTGAAAGAAGACCTCTATAAACAGGCACCTGAGTATAAACCATCAATGTTCCCTTAGTAAGCTACCGTTTAAACAATGGCCAGATAACCTGTTAAAAGTCTATATAACAAAGAAAGAAAACTGTATGATTGTTTATCTACAGGTGGTCTGATGTTGTTTGATTTTAAATCACATAAACATTGTAACTGTGTATGAGTCATAAGGCTATTTTTTAGCTCTACTGTTGCAGGAAGACTTCAGGTGCAGCAGCACTTTTTGTGGTTTATTTCAGGCTTGCTGGGACATCCATGCAGAACCACCAACTTTCCATAAGCTAGGTGGAGAATAAAAAGTATCCCAATGGGATTCAAACCCACACTAGTGAGGGACTAGCAGGGGCTAGAGATTTTTAAGTCAGCAACATCAACAAATTGCCACAGTAATGATAGTTTAATTAATGAATGTTTGATAAAGCAACAATCATATTACACATGTCAAATTATAAAACAATCAATTAAATCAATATAGTTGTGTTACCTATAAGCAACATTATAAATACTGAGCTGTTACAGAACCGTAGAAGTAGTTTACAGTCAAGGAGAAAAGACATATATAAAAGCAACTATAAATTTTCAATCAATAATCATTTATGATATTATTAGATGATTGTCACCAAGAATAGATTGTCCATTATATAATTTTGTTCAGATATTATGTAAAAAATATACCTCACAAACAAATGGTTTTTCCTGGGTATGTGTCCTCATGTGTTTCTTTAGATTTCCTTTCTCTATACAAGCCTTGCCACAAATCTACAAGTTAAATATAATATGAGCCGTGTCAAAACAAAACCAACATTATGCGTTTGCGACCAGCATGGATCCAGACCAGCCTGCGCATCCGCGCAGTCTGATCAGGATCCACGCTGTTCGCTTACAAACCCTATTACAAGTAGAGAAACTGATAGCGAACAGCATGAATCCTGATCAGACTGTGCATATGCTCAGGCTGGTCTAGATCCATGCTGGTCGCAAACGCATTACGATGGTTTTGTCATGACACGGCTCATTTATTGATAGATCAATAAACACCTGATATATCATACAAAAAATATACTCTCTATCTATATATTAAACTTGTGACCTGTCCTTCCGATTTAAAATCTGTTTTCTGAGTTCTGTCTCAAACCTCAAGGTTTTCATTAGTCAGTGTACATTCTGTGCCAGTGACTGACCAATCAAATACATGAGATCTGAGTTTGAGCTTATATGAGAGAAGTTGTTTATAACTTTGGACCTAGGTTTGCAACAAATCTCGTTAAATATATAGATAGAGAACACTGCATTAAAACATGTTTAATACCCCACAAATGAAAGGTTTTGACTGTTATACAGTATGAACCAGCATATATTTCCTCAGGCCACAACTCTCTGTTCATCTTTTACTACAAACCTTTTGGACATCATACATTAAATACACATGAACATATATTCTACATATATAACTTCTGTGGGTGGAACATGTCAATGCATTAAAGTATCAGATATTATGCAACAACTGTTTAAATCACATGATACCTAACAGTAACCTATGTTCTTCTTTAAAATCGTCATTATATTATTGTTCTTACAAGTCCAGTCAAGACATTTTCAATAATTTTTATTACATACATTAAACCTTTGCTGGAAACAACATAACTCTATGTTTATACATTTTATCAAAATATTTCATTATTACAATGTATATAACTTTCTACCTTTTTTATGTCTTATTTAGCCTCACAAGAAAAACTTTGGCTCCTGGTGAACTCTCGCATGTTTTCTTCAGATTATCTTTTGTTTTAAAAATGCTTTATAACACTGTGTACAGTGAAAAGGCGTGGCTTCCTGATGACGTACTGCATCGTGACGATCCAAGCTACTCTTCGTAGCAAAACTTTTATCACATTACTACACTTGAAACGTCTCAGACCTGCATGCAATGTTTTTATGAACCTTCAGAGCAGACCTGCAACACAGACATACATGAATAATAATTTACAAATGAATGATTTTTTAAAAAAAATGTGGAAAAGTTTGAGAAATAGCTGTTATGTATTACATAAATAATGAAATCATGGGCAAATTGCTAAAACTATAATAAGGGAAAGTATAGGGTCATTAAGTAGTATCATTAAAACATGTCTGTATTAGATACCTTTTAGTTAAAAGAGACTAATCAAAATTGTCTTGTTGACTTGAAATAAGCATGTTATCATACAATAGACCAACTTAGATCAATGATCATTAATCCTCATGGATAGTTTCCCAAACAGATTGTTCATCTCTGATTATCATATAAAAGGTTGAAAACAAATGTTTTCCTGGGTATTGTCCGTCATGTGTCGTAGATTCTGTCTCTTATCAGCAACCACAATACTTGGTTATATTATACGCGATAGATTAATTAAACACTGATAAATTAAAAAATATACTTCTGTTTTAGATTTAATTTGTGCACTGATTCATTATAAATCCTTTTCTTACTTTTTGTCTCAAATCTCAGGGTTTTCATTGGTCAGCGTACATTCTGTCCCAGTGACTGATCAATCAAATACTTGAGATCTGAGTTTGAGCTTATATTAGAGAAGTTGTTTATAACCTTGGAACCTAGGTCTGCAACAAATCTTGTTCAATATATAGATAGAGAACACTGCATTAAAACATGTTTAATACCCCACAAATGAAAGGTTTTGACTGTAATACAGTATGAACCTGCATATATTTCCTCAGGCCACAACTCTCTGTTCATCTTTTACTACAAACCTTTTGGACATCATACATTAAATACACATGAACATATATTCTACATATATAACTTCTGTGGGTGGAACACTTCAATGCATTTCGTATCAGATATTATACACCAACTGTTAAAATCACATGATACCAAAACCTATGTTCTTCTATAAAATTTATATTATTGCTCTAACAAGTCCAGATAAGACATTTTCAATAATTTTTATTACATACATTAAACCTTTTGCTGGAAACAACATAATTCTATGTTTATACATTTTATCAAAATATCTCATTATACAAAGTATATAGCTTTATACCCTTTGAGATGTCTCATTTACCTCACAAGAAAACTTTGGCTCCTGGTGAACTCTCACATGTTTCTTCAGATTATCTTTTGTTTTAAATGCTTTATAACACTGTGTACAGTGAAAAGGGGTGGCTTCCTGATGACGTACTGCATCGTGACGATCCAAGCTACTCTTTGTAGCGAAACTTTTATCACATTTACTACACTGAAACGGTCTTAGACCTGCATGCATGTTTTTATGAACCTTCAGAGCAGACCTGCAACACAGACATAAATGAATAATAATTTACAAATGAATGATTTTAAAAAAAATGTGGAAAAAGTTTGAGAAATAGCTGTATGTATTACAAAAATAATGAAATCATGGGCAAATTGCTAAAACTATAAATAGGGAAAGTATAGGGTCATTAAGTAGTATCATTAAAACATGTCTGTATAGATACCTTTTAGTTAAAAGAGACTAATCAAAATTGTCTTGTTGACTTGAAATAAGCATTTATCATAAATAAATGAGTCGTGTCATGACAAAACCAACATAATGGGTTTGCGACCAGCATGGATCCAGACCAGCCTGCGCATCCGTGCAGTCTGATCAGGATCCATGCTGTTCACTATCAGTTTCTCTACTTGTAATAGGGTTGGTAAGTGAACAGCATGGATCCTGTTTAGACTGCGCGAATGTGCAGGCTGGTCTGGATCCATGCTTGTCGCAAACGCATTACGTTGGTTTTGTCATGACGCGGATTAATTATTTCATTGAGTGAAATTAAAACAAATCTTACATGTTTGATGAGACATGATCGCACAGGTCACATTTAAAATCCTCCCTGCGGCCTTCTTTACATCTACTATTCATGTGGTCATTTAACTCGGCTTGAGTGGCAAACCTACTCCTACAGTTAGAACAATTATACGGTCGCACCATATGCTGGTTTAAATGTCTCTGTAATCCATCTTTACCTTTGAGTTTATTTCCACATATCAGACATAAATGAGTTCCTTGTGACACGTGTCTCAACAAGTGACGATTAAAGTTGCTTCTCCGATTGAAAGAGTCACCACAGCATGGACAAGTAAATGGTTGCTCATCCTTTATTGCGGCCATTATTTCACCGTAAGTTGTTTTCACTGTTTTACCATCTTCAGTTTTGTATGTTATCTCAGAGTCGGCGAGATCTTTCTCGATAGTTTTATCATCTTTCACAGCCACATCACAATCAGGTAGGTTATCATTATGGTCAATAAGATGCTGCTCATGGTGAAACATTGTCTCACATTTTAAACATGGGAAGTCTCCAAGTTTTCCCGTTTGATCGACTAAAATATCTTCAGCACTATTGTCATGTTCACGTACTATGTGAGATTTCAGGGCAGAAACAGAAGGATATATTCCTTTACACTGTTCACATTCGTGGTGATACATATCGTATAGTTTGTGGTCTAGGTGTTTCTGGTATAGCTCTGTATCCTGAAAGAATCGTCCACAGACACACTGATGACCTACTTTAACTTTGTGAAACTTTGTCAGATGCTCTCTTAACCTGCTTAACGAACCTCTTACTTTGTCACACATGAAACAATTAAATGAACTGTGCTCATCCTTTGTGAAATCTAATCCAGATTCCTCCGGTGTTAATAACAACAACTTTTCGTTATTTACTTCTACATATTTGTTCCCTTTTACGATTTCTTTATTTTTATTTTCATCGATTCTTCTCAGAGATACACTTGGGTGTAAACTTCTCTTGTTCCAAAAAAAATCGGTCCCATCCAATTTGGTCTTTTTCATTCCATTTGTAGCTTTTCCTTCTTCAAGATAACGCTTGCTTGAAGGAACACCTTCAGAACTCTGATGACTTTGCTGCTGTGTAATTTTAGTTTCATTTTCTACAGTTTTAGATCTGGTGACAGCTGTGTGTACTGTGATCTCATCAGGAGCTTGTTCTGTATCAGCACATTCTTCAAATCCATCATTTGTGTCATCATTATAACAATCAATCACCAACTTCTCCTCAACTGACACTAGAGAGGCAGTGTCATGAAAGGAAGTCTCTTGATAAGAGTTCTCTATTGGGACGGCAGTCAGCTCAGGCACAGATTGGCCAAAGTTTTGTAATACTGGTTTTATAGGTATAAAATTGGGTTGTAGCTGATCTAGTGCTGGCTGATGGGCTAGAATAAATATATATTATAATCGGTATTTTATGTGTAATTATAGTATCATGTATAGTTTTTCAAAAGTGCAAAAGCAGAATAAAATTTTTATGCAATTTATACTGAATTTATTTAAGTTTGATTGTGAAGGAAGCTGTAAGATTACAGACACACTCTTGAATCTGTTCCTGGAACCAACGAGGAGTGAGTATTGAGTATAAAACTTCTTGTTGAAGGTACAACGGCTTGCTCCTGATGGGGTTTAAACCCATGTGGCTAGTGACCCTTACATTACCAGTCTAACGCATTAAATACTTGGCCAAGCTGCCACTTTATATATAATTGGTTTTATATAGCAACAAATTATATTTTTAGATAAAAAAAAACATATTTAATATCAAACTTCTCTGTTAAAGTGTTTCTCATTGGTACAAATCTCACACCCTTGACAGATTATATAACCATTTCTAAATGCTTTTTTTGCTCAGTTTTTTAATCTGTCAAAACAGCAAGATACTTACTACTGCAAAATTCTTTAAATTTAGCAAAGACAGCATCAACATCTTTGAAGAAGGAAGCCGCTGCAGATGATGTTATTACAATATCTGAACCAGAGCAGAAAATCAATGTCTCCTTCCCAAGATGCTCGAGTTTACGGCACTGAAAACAAGTTATTTATATACATTTATATATACATGTACAATAGGCTGATTTTTTATGTGACTTTTCATATTACAACATCATGAAACATAACTTTTAATTTATCTGGGCATTGATTATGATAGCATCACTTGCTATCAATATTTCCTTTTTACTGCCAGATATATGAATCATACTCATTTGAAATAAAGGAAAATATTTGATATTTACAGAATATTAATAATTATATAAAAACCCATAACCAATAAAATTAAAAGTAAATTTAAGAGACAATATTCAATCTAAAAAAGTGTAAAAACTGAAAATTTCAATAAACATGTTTATTATAAGTTTTAAAGAAAACACAACACACTTTCTACATATACATGTATACATGAAAAAAGGTTTGTTGCAAATAGGAAAGATTATATAAGCCGCATCATGACAATACCAACAGTGCGTTTGCGACCAGCATGGATCCAGACCAGCCTGCGCATCCGTGCAGTCTGATCAAGATCCATGCTGTTCGCTTGCCAACCCTTTTACAAGTAGAGAAACTGATAGCGAACAGCATCGTTCCTGATCAGACTGCGCAGATGCCCAGGCTGGTCTGGATCCATGGTGGTCGCAAAGGCACTATGTTGGTTTTGTCATGACGCGGCTCATATGACTTAATAGCAATATATCTGCAGAATGGAATGACTCACCAGTATATCAAGATCAACAAGAAGATCAACCACCGATTCTCCAGCATCTTTCATCTCTCTACTACGCTCCTCTAACTGTATATTTGCCATTTTGATGTGAAAGTATCAGCAACCTTGAAATAGATTTTTTTGTAATATCAGAATTACATGTTTTCTGTTTCAGTCCATAAAGTTTAGTACCCTTGTGCAACAGTGCAAGTGATATAAACTGTAAACATATACTAAACACGAGCTGCAGCAGTACATCGGACTATCCTCAGTGTTTAATATAAAACAAGAGCCTGGAAAATGTTAGAATCCACAAAGGGGAAGAGTCCAGTCAAAACTCATTACAGTGTTATATATTTTTTAAGTTCACATTTAGGGCTTTTCAGTCAAAATCCCAAACCTTCAGTTGTTTATGATAACCAGGAATTTTCACAAGTTATCACAGGGGATTCATTCAAGCAAAGTTGTGATAGCTTCACTGTGACCTTCATCTCATGACCACACTGACAGAATCAAAAGTAGGCAATTACAAAGACACTAACAAGTTTTACAAACTTACATGTACACTTATTTCTTTCCAAATTATAAGACAAGGATTTAACACATAGGATAACTGTCAGAATCTTTACTTTTGACCTAATGACCCCAAAATCATTAGGGGTCATCTTTTTTGGCTAAGTGCAATATTCTGTCTAAATAGAACTGTCACTGATTCAGTCTAGTTCTTGACATTTTATCAATCAGTCAAAACTATTGATCTTTTCAAATCTGTATCAATAAAAAATGAAGATAATTTATATTATTTCTATCAATGAAACACTAAAGTTTTACAAATATAATTTTATTCCTTGGCTAACATACACCACACTCAACCCTTACAGATCTAAGGTATTCAGTGATTGCTATTGAAATTCAATGGTTGCATTTGGAAAACAGTGGTTGATGATGAAGCAAATTGTTGCAATTGAAGTCAAAGGTTGCTAGAAAGCAAATTGTTGCAATTGAAGTCAAAGTTTGCTAGAGGGAGTCAAACATTGCTAAGGAATTCCTGGTTGCTAAGGAGTAATTGGTTGCAATGGTTGTTACCGAAAGTCAATGGTTGCTATGGAAGTCAGAGGTTGGTAAGGAAATTGGAATGTCAGTGATGTTCCAATATTTGTATATATGAATTCATCATATCGGTTATCACAAGTTCTTAAGTGCAATCTTTAAAACAGACAATTTTAACAAGTGTTCTTGTAAATTGAATTTGTATATAAATAAAATTATAAAGTTGAAATAATTGTTTTTATTGATTAGTGCATACAAATTAAAAATGGAATGGGGATTTGCAAATTAAAACAAGGTAAGGTTTCATAACAGGTCTGATCCAAAACTGTTACCTTTTCTGTCGCAACAGACTTTGGTAAAAAAAAGTAACTAGAAATACATGTGTCCATATGTGCCCCAAACCTCCACTGTTTTGTCAATCTTATGACCCTAGGTCAAATATTTTTTGGGCTACATGTGCCACAAGTTGAAAACTGAAAATCTTTTACTAAGTGAAGGACAAGAACTTGACAAATACTGAATAAATGCAATCCGGTCAACTCGTCCCCTGGTCAACTCATCCCCTGGTCAACTGGACACCTTTTTGGTCAACTCGTCCCCTACTTTTGGTCAACTCGTCCCTAATATGGTCAACTCGTCCCCTACTTTTGATCTCTGTCTTTAAAATGTCTTTAAATAGTTCTTTTATGTAAAATATGTAAAATTAATACTGAATTTGATTGATATCGGGGAACGCCTCCATTCTACCTTTTGATAAAACTGCTGTACGATGAGGCCCAGGTAGCGGTGAGGAACTCTGAATTGATAAGTGAAGGAAGACTACGCCGCTACCAGCGGAAAAAGTACACCTTTCTCCAGGGACAGACGCACCAGCTGTGGGATAAGTACAGGAATGGGGAGTTGTCATCAACGGGACTTCTAAGAGAATTCGGCAACTTATACAAGCCCCAAGAGTCGTAAGATGTCAAAAAAAAGACAATGACAATTTGAAATATGTGCATGAAAAAAACAATGAAAGTGTGAAAGTGAAAGTGAATATATATGACAAAATATTGAAAAAGACATACTATATGATATTTTATCATTGCATATAAAACATGTTTTTATACATTAAATGTTATTGCTATTGATCGTCTTCATGTTGGTTTTTTTCTGCATGTAATTTAATCAGAATTATGCATATATATCCTTATTATTAGATGAAACTCCAAATATTCACATACAAAAAGCGTCAAAATATGTCAAATTCAGTAATTTTATAATATATTATTTTAACAGTCTGTAATGATTTATGAACTATATGAAAAACAAGTAGTAATAAAATATAAGGGACGAGTTGACCAGAGGACGAGTTGTCCAGGGGACGAGTTGACCAAAAAGGTGACGAGTTGACCAGAGGACGAGTTGACTCTGAATCGAATAAATACACAAGCAAACCCCAAGATGATGCCCAACTGTCTGTCAGGCCTAGAGGTCAAATACTTTTTGAGCTGTGCATGAACAAGTTGCGAAATTGCAAGTCAAGGGAAGTAACTCTGACAAAACAGAATAAAACCACAAGAAAAAGGCCCAATTAAGACAGTCAAACTCAAGGTGCACAACTTCACATGCTGAGCAACATTCTTGTAAAGTTTCATGACCCTAGGTCAAATAACTTTTGAGTTACATGCGAAACAGGTTGAAAATTGCAAATTTTTACTATTTTTACTAAGTCAAGGGCAATACCCACTCTACAATTATTGGATAAATTCAGACAAAAATACCCAGGTGCACAACACATGCTGAGCAACATTCCTGTATAGTGTCATGACACTAGGTCAATCCTAACGAGGGGGCACAAAAAAAATGCACTTAATGTTTTGGAATCCAGAACTAATTCTGACAGTTTTCAAACACTCCGAGAATGATTTAATTTTTAAAAAACATCTCTTTGTATGTATCTAGCCTACTTTAGTTGTCTGCACATTCGTTGTCCTAGAATATGTGCGTGTTATTCAATTATATTTCGTCAATAGATGTAGAACAAAAATAAAATAATACAAAAAAAATAATTGGAACGCCATTTTGTTTTTTTGTTGGAGCATATTCACAACGGTAGTAAATTGCAAGGAAGTCGGTTCATGTGAATGTATATAAATTTTTGGCTGACATAACCTACGTTCAATATCAAATAAGAGAACTGGGGACTTTTATAATACCGTATGATTGCGTTAATCACCAATTTGCGGGTAATTAACGCCTCACTTTAAGTTTATTCTCCGCAATCCACCAATCAGCACAGTGCAGCAGGTGCTACATTGTATTAAAGTTTTATAATTTCGCGTAATAAAATTAGGTAAGATACCACTAAATCATTACTTCTTGATCTGACGGTTGGAAACAATTCCTGTAGTCCCTTAAAAGTTTGTAAAAAATACAGGTCTGAATGGAATACCTGCAAGATTTTTTAAACGTTGGAGCTAGTTTTGTTAAATTACCTGTTGTTTTAAAATAGATATGTCTATTAAAGAAAACTATGTTCCTGGTGATTTAAAATTTGCCAGAACAACATCAACAAACCGTTATATGAAAAATGGTAAACCTGAAGTGGGCAGCTAGGGCCTGTTATTATTTTTAGCATTATTTCAGACATTTTAGAAAGAACTGCATATAATAAATTAGAATCACATCTTGTCAAAAACAATTTATTGTATGAACTCCAATCCGGTTTCAGAATATCATAGTCAATAGGTACTTGTGTCATTATTACAATATATTTCCCATTTTCATAGATTTCACAGAATAGAAAAAATATTTTATATATAAACTTACATTCATTACATTTTATTCGTTGTGGAAAACTTGACCTTATGGGAATAACCAATACAGACTGGTTACAGATCTTAATAACAGAAAACAAGTTGAACATATTGGAGAGGTTTCCTTATCTCGGACAAAAGTTAATTGTGGTGTTCCTCGGAAAAAAATATTTTATATTCTATGTTCTTTTATGCTACGTAAATGATTTGATCACCAGTATCGATTCTGAGTGTAAGCTCATTTTATATGCAGATGACAGCACTATACCTTTTTCTCATCCCGGATCATGATCTTGATTTTATTTCAAAGAATTTAGGTAATGTTATAGAATCTTTCTCAGATTGGCTTGTTGAAAATAAACTGTCTCTCCACCTAGGAAAAACTAAATATATGATTTTGGTCCTAATAAAAGAAATAGAAAAATCAATAAGTTCAATATTACTTGTAATGGGCACACTATTGAATCAACTTAAACACTATTGAATCAACTAAGACTTCTATTTTTTAACTGTAGAAAACTGCTTTGTTCAGCTTCATCTTGACTTTCTTGCTCGTCTTGGTACGAAAGTCTAATAAAACCCTACACAGGAAACTACAAGTAGCTTTATTAAAGTACTTGAAAGTGCAAGCTATTTTCCACGCCCCTAGCACCGGCTAAAGCAGAATTCAACATTTAAACACGCAATGGTAAAAATTCTAATTTAGAAACATTTGCAGGCAGAGTCTGCAATTTTCATATAATTTTGTTGTGATAAATGCTTCCAAATGATCATCCTTTTTTCCAGATTTTTTTTCTCTATTACTGCATGAGTGGCGTCATAAGAACGCCTACTTTCATTCTATTTTTAGTAGTCATCTTATGTAATTTTATGTGATTACAGATCTATATACATCTTTATTAAATTCCATGATGTGATTATGCAAATCTACCGTAATGATGTAGCCTGCAATTGTTAAGCCTCTGAAGTTAGTGACCTTATTTTGCACGTTCATTTACAAACATTATTATGTATACTTATATTGAGAAATCCAAAAATTATTTCGAAGTTACTTTTTTTATCATATTTTTTTTTTATTAAAATATGTCATTCTGGTTTCATTTTGTTCCATTTTAGTTGGAAATAAGCTTCCTAGCTTAGTGGGCTATCCTATATCATTGTATCATTTTTTAACCTGTACAAATACTTGTATTTTTTATCCTCCTTTATAATATCTTTACATCTGTGTTAACTTTATAGATAACAATAATAAATGCTAGTAATTTTCAGCAAAGGTTTGTGCTCTTAGTAATACTATTTCTAGTCGTTGTAGTCATAATCTTATCAGTGATTTTTCATAACTTTAACTCATGTCTGTACTAATATCACAGTCGATGATTTAATTCATTTATATCAATTTTATGTAATGATACTTTTATTTGTTAAACCGGTGATAATATATGTATATTTATGTAGATAAGGTCAATTTACTGCCTATCTATTTACTCATCCTATATTTACAAACACAGTTGTAATCACTGTAGTGAATAACTAACTGTACATTTTCATTCATTCAGGCATAATCACATGACATCATTTTCATTTATCATTATAAGAATTATGGGTAAAGTCTTGTTCTTGTTGTGAGTTTCTATGCTCAGTGAACTTTCTCTTGTTATGTTCTTGTTATGTCCTGTGTTGTTAAGTGATGTCCAATAAATATCTTGTATATTTGTTAAGTAAGAATGTGATTGGATGAGAGTGATTTCATATCATTTTTATGTATGGGCAATCTACATTCCTTTTCTAAGAAATCATTTTCAAACTTTGCATTGTAGAGTTAACTGCAGTAGTTCTTTATAGAACATTAATAAATATTGTCTTTATATAAATTAACTTTACGTTTGTTCTTTATAGAACGGATTTGATATTTATTATTTTATATAATAGAGGTCAGCCAGTTGCACCTGGTAAGATATGTTTTACTTTAAATTACTTAAAATAAATGTAATGAAATGTATGAATTAAATAATTGAAATTGTTTAAAATATGAAATGTTGAAATGATATCGATATTGAATTTGTATTTTAATTTGTGTTTTGTATTTCATGTATTTATAATTGTTTATTCATTTTATAGGTTTTCATTTTCACATCATCGAAATAAATATTGAACACCCAGTCAGAGTTGGTCATGTTTCAATCCAAACCATACTCTACATTTATGTTTTTGTAACTGTGATCAATAAAAAATAGTACTACGTAACCTTATATGAATGCCACTTTTTTAAACATTTGTCCGTCTTATACCTGTTATTCTATTTATACAACTGAATTATTTAACTTGCACCGCTTCATCATCTTTCAGAATTTGCGTTTTATGTATAAATAAATAGACAAATATTCATTTGTTTTGCTCTCAATACACCGTCTTTAATTTAGAAATAGACTGTTAAAGGTAAATGAATTTCATTCTTTATTGAACGTGTAATGGCACTTCCTACAAATTATTTTTGAGCCACCTGTTTTACTTGCCGGTTTCCAATTTTACTGTTTCAACTTTCAGCCTAAACATGTCTAGGATTTCATATTTACAGTACAGTATGGACAATGTAAATTTATGGACTCTAAATAATTTCATATTTGTTTATTTACAAACATTTATATGAAAGTACAGTGGTGCCTTGCTAATCAAACCCTTCTCATCATTTTTAAAATTGATTAAATGATTCATCCCATTCAATAACCATCATGAGATCATTACTGTGATCCTACATATTACCGGACAAAATATGATGTTTAAAAAAAATGAAACAGCAATATTAAATTTGAAATTAAGCACGGTCCGTCTCGCCTCGAGTCAAGTCTGCCCTGTCCAAAAATATGGTCCGCCCAGGTACGGTCTGCCTTGTCATACGACCTCTTCAACTAGACAGTGGGGTTTTTTCCCCCCACAAAATTGGGAAGAGGCCTTGGCCTGTTGAATATGGGAATTATTATTGCTAAAAGTTCTCCTTTGGAAGTAGAAAAGCTGGTGTAAGTTTAGATTTTTGGGAAAACTGCATGATTTAAAAGAAAATTTCCATTTGAAAGAGGCCTATCAGATGCCGTTGCTATTAAAGATCAGTGTTCGAAATTAGCAGTAGTCCGATAGCCCCTGACTACTAAATTTCTCCTCGGGCTACCAACTTTTCACAGTAACGCGCCCGACCAGGCTACTGTATTTTCAGAGGCAATATAAACAACTGTTTTGAACAAATGAATCGTGCTAGTCCAATATCTTTTGGGCTAGTGAATATTCCTATCTGGTAGTCGTACCAGCCTAGTCGATTCAAATCCTTATTTCTTACACTGTAAGATGAAAAATCAATTGCCAGAAAAGTATACAGTTTAGTGCCGGGGACTTCTTAACCTAATCCATATGACTACAAAAACAGAATTTCTTTGTGATTCAATGTTATTTTGTATGGTTTAAAAACATTTGAAATAGAACCTTCAAAACTATATTGCAGGTGAGCAAGCATGAGTCAAGCACTGATAGGATTTGGTGTAGCTGTGGCTTGCATGGCCATGTTTACTAACTTCTCTATACACAAGATAGAAGAAGGTAAGTTTGTTTGTTTTTTCTTAATTGCATAGATGCTTCTGAACTAATCAGCATAGTAACTTTATTTTATTCTTTTTAGGACAATTTTAACACTTTGAAAATGTTACTATACAAATATACATGGGAGAATGTCACTCAGTTATAGTGATTCTTTCAGCTCCTTGTCTTCATAGGCAGTATATAATGAGTTCTGGTACTACTTCAATAAATTTTCGAAAAATAAGCATGAAGCTGTTGTTCTCACCTAGTCTTTGGCGTCACACTTTGGTTCAGATTTTGTGTGTAAGTTTGTATCTTCCTTAATACCAAAAGAAAAAGGTTGAACCTTCACACACTTATTTGTGAACATAATAGGTCATTGGCCAAGACCCATTACTCTAACATGGATTTTGACAGAATTATGGCCCTTTTTTAACTTAAAAAATTCCACATTATTCAAGCTCTTGTTGCACTTTCAAGCATTGAAAATAGTTGAGCACACTGTCTTTCCAACAGCTCTTGACTAAGTTAACGGTTAACCTCACATCAAAACTTGGATATATTTCAATTATCTTTATTATGTTTAATGAACCAATCAGTTTATTGAACTGTAATTAAGAAAAAACCCTGACAGTCAATTACATGTAAGTGTGATTTAACATGTAACACTTTTTATTGCTAAACAGGGATTTTTTCCAGGATTTTGGAACATAACCCATACCCATGGAATTGAGAATTTCAGCGATATTTTGTTAAAAATTTGGAAAAAATGCATGACTGAAATTTTGCAGTGATTAAATGTATGCAAACAATCACTGTCTAGGATGGCATCTTCAAACATTTAAGCACTATTACAGTGAAGAAGTCCTTATTTTCAAAGATTTTAGAATTCATTATTCAATATTGTAATGCTTGTAACTTTCAATTGGGAATATTTTCCTGTGGATTGTGAAAATAATATACTTTCTTCAATTGGGAATATGACCCAATAACGACTGTAAAATAAGCCAAAAAAAATCCCTGCTAAATGATATTAAAAATAAAACTACTTGTTGTACAATTTAGGGACATATAAGATATAAAATTTATATGTACATTGAAATAAGTTTGGTAAAGCCAGTTCTAAAACGACATAAAAATGTTTATGTTTCTTGGGATGATCAAATGATGTACATAAGAACAAAAAATAAATGGATTTTAAAGATATGTTACAACAGGATATAAGATAATTTAGATATTGAATGTTTTAAGTAGGATTACCATTTAATAGTTAAGTGGATGAGATATCAATCAGAATGTAAGCAATTTGGTTCAGGACAACGTAAACAAATATTTGTTGTCAGATGGAAAGAACACTTTACAAGTTTGATTAATGTACAGCTCAGGTGGACAAGAAATTTTAGTTTGGAAAAGCTCCTTATTGGTTACTAACATTAACTTTATTATTCATAGTATATCAAAGAATTTGTAATTTTTTTTTATCTTTTGCATGACATTTAAACAGGAAGCTATCATTTTGTTAAGATAAAACTATTAATGTGGATATAATCTATTTGTTTAATGTCTGAATCATGAAATAGAAATGCATGACAAAATTTAAGGAAGTGTGTTTTAAATAGAATTATAAAATGATCTTCATGATTATATAAGATTTAAGGAGTAAGTGATGAAGATGTCATTTAATCACCATGTATTAAACTCTACTTTTCTGTCTATCTTAAGATGTTATGTTTTCTCCAGAAATTTCTTTTTTTGGGAGGTTTTAAGCCACATTAAATGACTATCAAAGTTAAGGTTATATATGGTCATTTTCCAGCTTTTCTGGTGGAGAAAGACTTCATAATTATGCTCCTCCATATTATTTCAGGCATGCATGGTTTCATGGATAAAATTTAAAATAGTGATGTACATTATTTTCTATACCTTTTATTAGACTGATTTATATACACTTCATATTTCTTTTGATTGCCATATCCAGCGTAATATAAAAAGTATTTTAATTGATAATTATAACTATATAAGCTATACATCTCAGGGTGTTCATGGCCGAGTGGTAAAGGTTATTGATATCAAATCACTAGCCCTTTACCTAACCTGTCCCGGGACTTTGGATTTTTTAGTTGAGAAAGCTATCCAGCTACACATAGTTAACAGAACATCAGTAGTTCTACTCATGTACCAATTTGTGCCGGAAATAATGCACCAAGGGGCACCTTACATCTTCTTCAACCATTAATGCTGGTTTGATATTAAACACAACCGAAAAATGCTAAATGTCTTTGTTAAAAATTGTAATATTATATATTTTTTTTACAGGTCATGTTGGGGTTTATTATCGGGTAAGTTTTTTCCAAATTGTAGCAAAATTCATCTTCACCTTTTATCAACCTTTATTGAAAAATGGAACCAAGAGAAAATGCCTTTGCCACCAGTATAGAGCCAGGCCAGCCTGCATCACACTACAGTATGACGAGGCTCTGTACTGTTGACTGACAAACTTTAACTTTCATATTGATCCCCAAAATAGATAATTGAACAGTACCCAAAAGAAATGGAAGTTCCATGAGGCTAATGTGGAGAAATTTGTATTTAATGGTAAGTTCACCAGGAAAGTCAGGTTTATCAACAGCTGAGATAAAATAATACATTAGATTTGAAAAATAATAAATGATAGATGAATAATGTAAAGAACAGTGCAAAAAAGGAGAACAGAAAAACAAAACAAACAAATAAAAGTCTTGGTGAGTTATAACAGTGTTATACTAAAAATATAACTACACCTGTGACTTAGTATTTTGCTGTCAATAAATTATATTAAAATCATGAAGATAAAATTTAATGATTATATTATATCTGACAGGGTGGTGCATTGTTGAGCAGTGTTAGTTCACCAGGATATCATTTCATGGTTCCATTCATCACATCATTCAGGAGTGTACAGGTAAGTTTTGATACTTTCAATTAATTTAAGGTGTTTACTGTCCCATGAAGATAAATTATTAATAGGATTGGGTCTTAAAAAATTCTGAAGTCAGCTGAACTTTGCGACGGCTCTTATATTCTTCTATGTAAGTGAACTATGTATTATACAAGATGCTTGTTATAACCTTCTAAACTGAATGGAAAATCTGACTTATGTAGGATATTTTGGATTCTTTCATGTGAAGACACAATCTTGTCTAAGCTTACAGATCTGTAGTTCTGCTTTTGCGCTCACTAGTTATTGAAATAATTCAGGAAGGGACATCTTATGTCTTCCCCCACTTATAAAACTGGAAAGTAATCTTATGACCTCAACAGTGGTGTTCATGTTATGCCTTTAAACAAATTGTTCTTATGATTAAAGACTCTTTTATTGAACTTCAATATAATTTTGATGAAAAAACTTTATGAGTTATTTGTGAAAATTGCTAAAATATTTGAACAAAAATATAATTATATATTTGAATGTTTTGTAATTTAAGACAACATTACAAACAGATGAAGTGAAAAATGTGCCATGTGGAACCAGGTAATATTTTCCTATACATTAAGCCAGTCTTGTTACATTAAAGTTCTGTTCTAAGACAGTTATTTTGGATGATTTTGATGATAAGATAAAACTTCTGTGTGAACTATTGAGTATGCATTCATATTATTACTTAAAAACAAGGTATCAAAACCAAACTTGGTGTTTAGCACACTTATTTGTTATATTTTAGTGGTGGTGTCATTATATATTTTGATCGTGTTGAAGTTGTAAACAAGTTGGCGGAGAGTTCGGTACACGACATGGTGAAGAATTACACGGCCGATTATGATAGAACACTCATCTATAACAAAATACACCATGAACTTAATCAGTTCTGTAGTGTACATAATCTACAAGAGGTCTATATTGATCTTTTCGGTAAGTTTTATATAATGAAAAAGAGATATTTTTGACATGCCTAACTTTACATAATCTACAAAAGATCTATATTGATCTGTTTGTTAAGTTTTACATTATCTAGAAAAGAGATTTTTGGTTTGCTTTACTTAACATTATCTTGCAAAAGGTCTATACTAACCTTTTTGGTAAGGGTTACTTAAAATTGAATGTTGTTATGTTTTTATCTCAATGATAAGAAAATTGTGGCTTGATTTGATAATTGATCTTGATGTAACAAAAGCAGATAATCATGTATTAATTCTTTTATCTGTCATTTCACAACTTTATTGTGCAGCTTTTTTACTTTGTTATATCTTGTGACATGCTGAATTATACAAATAAGTCGCATTGTAGTATGGTAAAGATAAATTTCTGTATTTTGACTCAGATGAGTTACTCATTTATGCAAGGTCTACACAGCTTTGACTGTGTTTCAATCCCAATGTTAGACAAACTTTGCTTCTGAATCATACCATAAACAATGACCATAATACTGTAACCTTACAAAGATGTAACTCTACATAAACAAAGTGTAAGTTACAATTATGAAAAGGAAGCTCTAAATTTTGTGTATGACTTCCATGCTAACATTTAGAAACCTCTTACCATTTTGATAGATAATTTGCCTATGTTATAGAATTAAGCCATGCAGTCTGACCAAATTTTAAACTACTAGCTGCCTAATTATCGCCTTTTAATGTCAGTATATTCTTTACATTAATAAAGGCCAATTAAAATGTCTAAAATTTGGTATGAAGAGTAATGAAATTGATTTTATTGGAATCTCTCTAGTATTTCTCACACAATGTTGTTAACTCTGTTTGAATCAATTAGAGGTAATTAAATATTACAGATAAGATAGATGAGAATTTGAAGGAGTCGTTACAGGAAGATCTGACTGACAATGCTCCAGGACTTACAGTACACAGTGTCCGTGTCACAAAACCTAAAATACCAGAACAAATCCGCAAAAACTATGAAATGATGTAAGTTCTTGAAATATCATCTTATCTCACTATTAACTTATCTGCATTAGCTTTATGATAGGTTGGTGTATTTTGCCACTTTCCATGCTTTATAGATATCAAATAGACATCAGTTAACCCAGAAGAAAAAAAAATTTAGCTGAGCAGAAATCAATGGCAGGATACCATGTCATAATGCACTAGCAAAATGCTCCATATCGAACTTTTTTTTCTTTTTTTTTTTTGTAAACATCCCAGGAACATGAAGGTAAATTATGTTTTTATTCTAAGAAATTATTATAATATTAAAAACTAATGTAGCACACCAAAGATTGGCCTTAGTACTTGATATAATTGAAAAAGCGTAAAGTTTTAAAATAAAAACCTATTTTATCTTCGAGTCAACAAAGAAACAAACAGTCTGATTGGGAGCATTTTGCAGGTGCACGATGACGTAGTATCCTACCATTGGAAATATGCATGATATTTTCATATTTCCTGTGATTTCATTTAAGAACTTCTATGTTATAAAAACTTATGTAGATCTTTATACTTTAATTTTCTACACTTTCTAATTGTATTGATAAGTTTGTTATACATATATATCAGGGGAAGCTGAGAAGACCAAACTGTTAATTGCTGTACAGAAACAGAGAGTTATTGAGAAAAGAGGCAGAAACTGATAGAAAAAAAGCTATCATAGGTAATATGATTTATTTCTTATATTATATTAAGAAAAAAAGCTAGGATAGATAAAAATGAATTACATGTATTTTTTTATATTACATTAAAAATAGTCCCCTCACCCCCACACTTTGCTCAGTATGAAGAGTATTAGGTTAATAAATCATGGGTTGCTTTGTTTGATCTCATTGAGTGAGGTGAAATTTCTCCCTGAGAAATTGATCTCGGTCCAATTTACATTTGTCTTTCACTGCTGATTCAGAAATCTTGAGGGATTTAGTAGCCAGTCATGTGCAGAAAAAATGGTAATTAACCGGTTAATTATCCAGTAAAGCTAGATAGGTCAAACCTTTGCTAAGATATATCCAAAACATGTTAAAATCTTTATTTAAAACCAACCAAACTAATAAAATACAATCTATATACAGCATGCTTCATTAGAATAACTCTTCATTGAATTAACAAATTTGATTCATGAAGCTTTGTTGCTTTCAAATATCCAGTATTGTTAATCTGATAGGTTTCAAGATTAGAACACAAAAAAATGAAGAAGCCAACATGATTTCTTGGAAGGGAATCCACATATTTTAGTACAAGAGAATTATTCTGCTGGAGATGATTGCTTGACTACTGTTGTATCATTGTTTTAGAAACTTTTTTGATTTGGTAATTTATTATGACAATAATGTTCAGTTATTATGTACAACTTTGGCTAATTGTTATATTAATATAATAGAGGCTGAGAAGAATGCTTCAGTTGCTAAGATAGAATGGGAACAGAAAGTAATGGAGAAGGAATCAGAGAAACGCATGTCACAAATAGAAGGTATACTTACAATCCAATGTTATATTGCATTGTTTGCAGATTAGATTTGCATCAAAATACATTAAATAGAGAAGAAATTTTTCATTTTATTAACATTGTATGACATGTTTCATTTTCATACCACTGATCACACTAGTAATATTCATTATTGAAATTGTTAACTTGTTTCTATTAATGCAAATTACATTAAAATTTATAGAACCAAATACTGGATACAATATTGCACAAATTGACTTTGAGTTTTCAGAATGAGACATCAGCATTAGTAATGGATGGAATATCTATAAAATAAAATGTTATCATTAGTTTATATTCATTAATATCATTTATTTAAATTGCAGGGATTTTGTTTTGTTTATTTATAATTGCATGATTTTTAACATTTGTATATATTTCAGATTTAACTCATTTAGCAAAGGAGAAAGCTAGAGCTGATGCCAACTTTTATCGTGTACAGAGGGAGGCTGAGGCCAATAAGGTATTATATTAAGTGAGACTAAAAAAGGATTGGTGCACCACACTAAATACTGTATTCCGCTATTTACCAGACAAGGCGCTTGAATGATTAAATGCTTAAATCTTGCCTATTTACCCAAATGAATGAACGTTAAAATGTCTTTTTTATCTTTTCACTCTGATTTATGTATGATAATGAATGAAAAATGTAAGAATTGGCGGGGGAAAAAAAATGATATTTGTCTTTTGATTGATCATGCTTTCTGCAAGCATCTTGAGGTACTGCTCCAATCCTGTATTGCCTTAAATCCATTATATTTCTGTGTCTTTATAGATCTTGCATTCTAATTTTCATTTAGAATCCGATTAACTTGAGGATGTTGTATAAATGTAATACTTTCAAAACATTCCTACCTTGTTCTTCTCTCGTAAAAATGAAATGCCATAATTATTACTTGTCATTTAGTTAACTGTCTAAAAATGTAAAAGACTGCCCCACTCTTTTTTATATTGATAAATTCAGGGGAATATATACAGAAACTTCTGTGACATGGTCTCTTGATTTTCCATGTAAAATATATAATTAGAAAACAATTATGACAAAGTATATAGCTATTTTGACTTTTACAGTTTTACCAGTACACTGGTTATTTATACTTGAATACCGCTTTTAGTATAGTTTAGATTTATTTAAATTTTCATTTTTACACTTTGCAGATGATTCTTACTCCAATGTACTTAGAAATGTTAAAGCAGAGAGCGTTATCAGAAAATACTAAAATATATTTCGGAAATAACATACCAGATATATTTGTTGATCCTACAGCAATGACATCACCAGCTTCAAAAGATTCTAATCAGAAAAAGGTAAACTAATTCTAATAAAATCAGTATGGACTTAGCCGACTTCACAGATATATACAGTGTGAAATAGACTCAGTACTTTTGGCTACCGTGAATTTGTAAAAAATCTTTATATCTCTGAAAATTTAAAAAGAACTTTACTGTCATTATACCCCCACAAACAAAGTTTTAGGGGGTATATAGGAGTCAGCCTGTAGGTTCGTCCACTTCATGGTTTCCAGATGATAACTCGAGTTTGGAATTTATTGTATTCAAACTTGGTATATAGCAGCCTTATGTGAAAACCCAGTTTGGATTTGCTTTTGGACCCAGTTTGGGTCAAGATCACTGTGAAAATGGTTTCCGGACAATAACTAGTGTTAGGATTCAAACTTGGTACATAGCAAGCTTTATGAAGACCCAGGCTGGGATTGCTTTTAGACCCTGCAGGGGTCAAGGTCACTGATGCTAAAAATAGAAAAATAGTTTCAGGACAATAACTAGAGTTAGGAATGATATATTGTAATCAAACTTGGTATACAGCAAACTTATATGAAGACCCTGGATGGCATTGCTTTTGGACCCCCTGGGGTCAAGGTCATTGGTACTAAAAATAGAAAAATGGTTTCCAAACAATAACTAGAGTTAGGAATGAGGTATTATAAAAAAAACTTTGTATATAGCAAGCTTATATGAAGACCCAGGTTGGAATTGCTTGTAAAGGTCACTGTTACTAAAAATAGAAAAATGGTTTCCGGACATTAACTCCAGTTAGGAATGTGATAGTGTAATAAAACTGCATATCTCAAGCTTATGAAGAGACCAATTATATACAGATTTTCTTTCTGTTACATCATATTTGTGTATGTGATACATGCAGTATATATAAAAACATTTACAAGTTTATCATAACAATAACATATTTCTATATTTCAGACCAAGACTTGAGGGCCAGGGTGTCATAGATTTTTTTTCCAATTTCATCTTTTCTATGTGATATCTACAGACTTTCTCCAGCATGATCATGTATCAGGGAACAACCATTGAAATAACAGGACAATAAATTCCATATCACATCTAAGGGAGATAATTTATTTTGTTGCTTAAATTTTCTCAATTTTTGAAATGCGGTACTTTATCTTGTGAACACATAGGTTAAACATGGTATAAACTTTTTCTTTTTTTTCTGAAGAAGGATGTGATTATCAAAGCATGAAGTTTTGACTTTATAGTGCTGCCACCTCCTGTAATGTGAACATAATGTACCAAGGGAGATCACTTTGTACATATTGAAAAATTTAAAAAAGGAAAAATATTTTTAAAGTTTAATTAATTTTCAAAACTGCCATCATTGTATGAATACTGTAAGCAATACTAATTAAAATGGACACATAATCATTGAATTATTTTTGGTTATTTTCTTTCTCTATTTAATGTATTTTGTTGACATTTTGTAGTTATAAAAAATACAGCATTAATTTTTTTTCAGTATATATATTTAATGTTGGCAAGTCTAATATAAATGATTAAGTTATTATAAATAAGTACATGTCAGATAAGTATTTTAGACTCCAGCACATAAAATGTTGCAGATTTAATATCGTTAAAGCTGGTCCGAGAGGGCATTAGAGATGTTGAACTTTTGCATTATCTTTCATGAACAAGACTCGATCAAACCATGTCTGCAAATTTTATGTAATTTCTTTATTTTCACGGTCACCCCTTTTCCAGATTGTATTATTACATCTTTTAAACCAATATATTAACACATTCCATTTGAATGTTAAAACTGTAAAGATATGCTTTTAATGCCTACTTTTCCGTGCACATTGTTGTTAATATTTTAACAAAAACAAAAAAATGCTAGAGTTTTTATGTATTTCAATGAATGAAGAAGATTAGATAATGTGGTAAAACTATGAGTGGTACAAATCGAAGCTCTACATGAATTCTTTTTATTATGTTAATTTTATTGTTTGTGGGTTATCTACATGTACAACAGTTTTCTCAAGCTTGTTCGTAAAATTTCAAAATTAATTTAACCTCTGACTATCCTTTTCATGAACCTGCATGATAACACATTGTTCTTAATTTTATTTAATCAATATTTTAACTTGCTTTAGTTTGCAAATATGTTGTCACATGTTGTTTAATGTCCGGGCAATGTTTGTGTAATGAATACATGTTCAGATTATAAATTATGGTAAAATTGTATAGTGAGAATGAAAGTTTAAACAGGTACATGTATTTTAAAAAAAAGTAGGGTTTATTTGTTTCCCTATTTGTTATTGCCATAAGTATTCAAAGAGTTAAAGATTCTTAAGATTTTGGGGGAAGATTGAAACTTTACATATGCCTATCTCCTTGTTCTATAATTATGTACATGTATCATATTAAATGATAAGTTAACCAGATTTTTTTTTTGATGGTTTTGCTTAATTAATGTTGTTGTGTATTTTGTTTCTGTATTTATTGAGATATGGATGTTGTACAGTCTGGTATTGTTAAATTAGAGAAAAATGTCAGGTTTATATACTTCTGTCAAGTTTGTATAATAATAATAATAATGATAATAAAGGCTTTATGTAACATTTATAATATTCTGATAAAATTGTTGTTGTGTAGTGTCAATCATGTGAGTTATTGTGTAATTTATAAATTATCACATGATATTAAAGAATACTTAACAAGTGTAATTTTCTAATGTATATCTCTAGATTATTGTACGAGATTGTTTTGCTTATAAGTATACAACCTCACATAATTGTCATGGTTTGAGGACGAAATTTCAATACAGCAGGGGATTATGTCAGGGTTCAGAACTGTTTACAATATAGGGGACAAGATTTTCAGTAAAAGTAGGCTGAGTAAAAATACACCTGAGTGTTGATGTGCTCTTATGACAGGCATGAGTATAAATTCAGTACACCTTGAAAAACTTTTTAAATAATTGATAATGCTCTAATACACCCTTCAGAGCTATTAAAAAAGTTCAATTTCAACAATTTCTTTTCTTGTATACAAGAAAGCATGTGAATTATGATAGATTTTTGATTTTGTCATATAGATAATTGATCACTCATGTCTGTGGACATCATGATCTGTTGTTACTCACCTGAATTATAATATATACTGTGCTATATGACATGATTGCTCACATATTAAATTTTTTCAATTAAAAGAACAGTCATATTATTAGAATTATTTCTGGTCGAGCAAACAGCAACAACAATAATTTGATGAGAATTATAAAAAAAATTTATAAATGTGTCCGGAGGACATGTCTGCCCCCACAATCCACCATTTTGTCAGAACATATACGGATAGTGGGACAGACGGACAACATCAAATTTAAATGCCCACCCCCCATTTAAAGTAGTGGGGGCTAACAAATGACATTTTAAAATTGAATACTGCATTTGAATGGTTTTTCTTTATTACAAAGAAAGGGTTTCAATTTTGTGCATGGTGTATTTAGAAAACAATGTATTTTGAACAGTTCGAGCATGTATTTTATATTACATATAAATATGTATATAATATACAGAATTGATGTATGTTTGTGTGGATAATTGACATTATAAATTAAATATTGCTCAATTTATTTAAGCACATGTCGTATATTTGTTGTTTTGTTTATGTGTGTATAACACAAGTTTGTTTAGATAGTAAATCTATTATATGATAAGTATAGACATCTACATTTTGTTTGATCACAAGAAACATGGACAACGTGGATAAATAACTAAAATTACACTGTAGGACAATCAAGTGACATTATGCTCATAATTTCATAGTCAAATTGAGCTGAATTGACTTTATATTTCAATAGATTGATTGTCAAAATGGTGTTTGACCAACAGTTGATATTAGAAAATGTTTAGGATAAAATTATAAAATCTGCCTATAATTTAAAAAGACTGCCCACTCTTTTTATAAACTAAGCGTTACAGGTAAATTCTAATGGATAATTACACAAATTTCGTTTGGATCTGTGCATTATTTATTGTTTATGCGAACTTAATTATCAAATTCAAATTAATTATGGCAAAATAAAAACTTATTTTTATCTTCACCCGCTCACTTACTATATACCCTCGGATGGGCATAATGTCACTTTAAGTAGAGATTAAAATTTGTTACTGATGTGATTTTGATCATCACAAATTGATCAGTGGTTGAATATGTGATGTGTCTGTCTTACTCAGCCCAGGGAACCTTAGTTTTAGTCCCACTTTTATTAAAACCCATGTATTTTCAACTAACTCCAGTTCTATAGTTAGTCCCAGAGGCAAATTTTAAAGTCAGGTTAACATAAGTTGCAAACAATTGTTACACAGTTGATCTTATACAAATATCTTTTAACAACATGTATTCATATATTAGTATTTGCATTTTGAATTTCATTAAAACCAAAGAGTACTAGTACAGAACAAGCAAATAAATAATGATATTGTATATAGGAAATCCATATAATGCTAAAATTAGTTTTTCTTTTTATTTTATTACACAATATTGAAAATTGATATACAAAAAGTTTATTACAAGGGTAGGTTTAGGGGTTTTAGTTAATTAATATACTAGTTTCAGTCCTTTACTTTGTTCATCCAGATGACGAGGTGTCTAAATGAATTGTATAGAAAACTAATTATGGTGCAAAACAAAATTTAATATCTTTTGATTTACTTCTACAGATCTTTGTTGGAATGAAGTACATGTAGTTCTTCTATAGTGATGTTAAAATCTAGGAAACATGTAGTATATTGTTTTATTTGCTAGAATTCTTATTTTTCATTCAAGCATTATATATTAATGAAGTTATTCTTACTAAACAAGTAATTTTCTGATAAATTTATCCAATGGACATTGCTTATCAATTTAACCCTTAATCGGCTGGAATCAAAACTGATTTGCATTTGTTTTTAGTTTAGAACCAGACCTGCCTGTAAATCTGTGCAATCTTACTTGGCTCTATATTGTTGATATATGTAACTCATATTTTGATATTGAAATCACTTAAACTTTGGATGAACTGTTACAAATTTATAACAGAGCAAGTCTGTATCATAAATAAAGGAGTTTCAGGGTTAAAGATAAAACTGTAGTCACATGATAATTTAAATGAGAAAAAGAACATTTCGGTAAAAAAACAGGTTGATTTACCACATATTTACCACTCTGTTTATGTGCCTTAATATTTTGTATATCCTTTTTATAAATAAATGCCAATAAAATCATTTTTCTTTTGTTGTTACTTACAGAGATACTCTGGAATGCGGCAAATGTGGGTTTTTCCCATCTGATTTATGAGTACAAAAATTTACTGTTACATCTTGGTAAACGAATCACTTATAAATGCAATGTGTTGATCACTTTATTTTGAACAATAGAGCACCATGAAGCTATAATGGATAGTATTTTTATGCACCCTGGTAAAAGCCATGTTAGTCGAATTCTGGATAACATCTATTTTCATCCATGTGTGCCAGTCAGTGTTGTTTTTTTTTATGGATGTATTACGGTACTGTAAGAAGACTCAGTTTAGAAGATTTTGATCGGATATATCTGCCAAAACATAAAAATAGAAAGATATTTAACATAAAAAGGATAACAATTACCATTTCAGTTTCGAAATAATCCTAAATATATTCAAGAAATCAACTACTCGGTCATGAAAAAGGGGCTTAAATGTTCTTGAAGTGATTGTTTTTCATATGAAGTGAGATTGCATTGACTAGCTTTTTATGCCCCCACAGAGTGGGAGCATATAGCGTTGCACTTGTCCGTCCGAGTGTCCGTCCGTCCGTACGTCCCGAAATCTTGTGAACCCAACTCCTCTTAAACCGGATGGCAGATTTTGCTTAAACTTCCAGGGATGAACAACCTTAATGTGTAGATGGTAGTAAAGGCAGGAATTTTTGCTGCGACCAAATTTAACAGAATTATGGCCCTTTGTTAATTTTTTCACTATATACTATGTAGAAATTTTGTGAACACTACTCCTCTTAAACCGGATGGCAGATTTTGCTTAAACTTCCAGGGATGAACAACCTTAATGTGTAGATGGCAGTAAAGGAAGGAATTATTGCTGCGACTAAATTTAACAGAATTATGGCCCTTTGTTGATTTTTTCAATATATACTATGTAGAAATTTTGTGAACGCAACTCCTCATGCTCATATTTTCTTTGTCAAGTTGAGCTAAGTTGACTTTATATTTCAAAAGACTGACTGTTAAAATGGTGTTTGGCCAACAGTTGATATTAGAAAATGTTTAGGAAAAAATTATAAATTTGCCTTAAATTTAAAAAGACTGCCCCACTCTTTTAATAAACTAAGCTATATAGATAAATTCTAATGGATATTTACAGAAATTTCATTTAGATCTGTGTGTTATTTATTGTCTATGCGGACTTAATTATTAAATTGAAAGGATTAATGGCAAAATGAAAACTTATTTTGATCTTCACACGTTCACTCACTATATACCCTTGGATAGGCATAATGTCACTTTAAACCGGATGGCAGATTTTGCTTAAACTTCCAGGGATGAACAACCTTAATGTGTAGATGGTAGAAAAGGAAGAAATTTTTGCTGCGTCCAAATTTAACAGAATTATGGCCCTTTGTTGATTTTTAGTTTTCAACTTGTGGCACATGTAGTCCAAAAAATATTAGAATACTTAGAGTCATAAGATTGACAGAACAGTGGCTTGTGTGGGGCATCCGTGTCCTATGGACACATTTCTAGTTTTGTATAATACCTGAAGATAACTTAAAAATCCCTACACATAGATTGTGGTTGGTGAAAGGCATAAAATATGTTAACCAAGGATATTGTGACAAACTAAAATGAAAAAAAGTTATTATATTTTACATATAAGTTTGCAAAATCATTGAAAATACTAAGCTGATATAATTATGCTAATCTATGGACTTATTCAAAAATAAAAGTCTAACTTTTCATTTAATAATTTTGTCAAAAAGTACAAAGGACTAAAAATTAAATTCAAATCCAGACACCTCTCAAACATGCTGTTCGTCTTTATAATTGTGTGGTCACTTCATATTTATAAAAGAAAAGGTATACCGTATGTGTAACTTTTAGAGAACCGCATATATAAATGATTGGCCATTCAATAAACGACGTGTTATGACGTCATCCAGGTAAGAAGAGGTCGAGCCCATTTAAACAGACAGGGTAATTTTGAAAAAATCGTATGCAATGATATCGTACGAGTATCTGTAAATGTCCAAAATAATATTTTCCTCGCCATTACCAGAATGTCTCTACTTGTTGTGATTTCAGGTTAGTTAATTGTGTAACTAAATTCAGTCGCATTTAAAGTTGTCACGTGTCGATAATACACCTATATATAGAAATGTGTTGATCCAAACGTCAATCAATGTGACAGTAGTAAGACAGAAGTTGACAAAAGTTTTCGAAAGTTTTACAGGAGTGTTTTAACGGAATTTTAAACAAAATATAGAGATCTGTAAGTGAGTTAGTAAGGGCAATGAAGTTGTTAAGCGTCACGGCCTTACTTTTGGCCAGCTTTATTGCTTTTAGTGAGTGTATTTCGTTTATTGGTAAACGTGATTATAAAGACTTTAAAGTGGGACAGGCACCTAGTATCCACTTGAATGTGAAAAAGCATCATCATCATAATCATCACCAGAGCATGTTACGAGGAAAACATCTCGATTTGAATGAGGTATATCTTTTTTATTTAAATACGTTGCTAAAACATACCTGTATGCATGTATACATGTCACTGTAAAATATACATCTTACTCACCTGTGCATAGGTAATGTTTTTATTAGTCATATATAGATATAGCACATGTTGAAGGAGAGAAGTCCACACATAAATATAATTAACAAAATAATTCTGTAAAACTCAAAATACATTATCTGATTACTGATTATTTAATTATTGCATAATCCTGACCATTCCACTTCATAATGCAATTAATTAGACCTATCAAAATTACATCAGAGACATAGTCTCAATATTTCGACTGCAAGACCGACCGATTTTACAATCTGATTTTTCATAGATTATTGTCTGTCGAAGGGCGACCATCGTCTATAAAATAAAAAGCCCTAAAGTGCACAATTTGATGGGCTTAAATCAGAGACAATGTTGGACATTTATATAATACTCACTGCCAAGTGAAAAAATTATAAGTTGGCAATAAAATGTTACTTGCCCTCTTGTTAGAAATATCACTCAGGATATTTTCCCACAATATAAATACCGTAAAATTCCTATTAAATGCCCCCGGGGGCTAAACATTTTCCAAAAGGGGGGCTATTATTACAACACAGTTTTTCCTAAATCCAAAAATCATTGTTAATACATTTAGTGTTAGCAAGTGTTAGTAATAACATTAAAAAGGGTTAAGATTTTAAAGTTCATGCTATAAAATAAAATTGATTCTGAATGATTTGAATGAAATTATGGATTTACTCATGAGTTCAGCACTGATGAGTAGATTGTTTTTCTTATCAAAAGGCCTGGGGGGGGCCTTTATTAGGGGAGGGGCGTTTATTTGGAATTTTACGGTATTTATAAAAAAAATGTTTAAAAGACTCGGGCACAGTCAGTCATAATTTATTTATTTAGTGTGCTGTTACTCATTCATATAGCTATTTGTTCAATAAATGCATAAAATTAATGCTTTGTATTTAGAATTATTGCTTTGTATTTAAATTGTCTAAATTAGGTTTACAGAATATTAAATAACAAATTATTTAATTATGCACAATAATTATCATATCTAATTCTTCTGAAAGACATATTAATAAGATTAAAGGGGTATTATATCTTTGATAATCATTATACATGTCTACAAGAAATTAAGATATTAAACAGGTTAGCTGACATATGAAAGTTTTAAGTGTTATATAGAGTCATTAATAGACAAGCTCCTTTGGCTGTGGGATTGTCTTTAAGGGTTAAGGCATCAGATTAATGCAGCCACCAATTTTATCCTCCCGTGATTATAAGAGGCGACTAAATGGGTTTGAATTACAGGAGACTATGTATCTCTTAGGCTTATGGGTTTTTTTTACCTCTGGTGTTGCGACCAAAAACATTGGTTTTTTGCGTTCAGCATTGATCCAGACCAGCCTGCGCCTCGGCGCAGTCTGATCAGGATCCATGCTGTTCGCTTACCAACTCTATTACAAGTAGAGAAACTGATGGCAAACAGCATGGATCCTGATCAGACTGTGGGGAGGCGCAGGCTGGTCTGGATCCATGCTGGTCGCAAACGCATAATATGTTGGTTTTAATTGTCATGACATGGCTCATATGTAGTCATATTTTTGAAAAAAACATAAAACAGATTATGATATTAATGATATATGTCAGTGTAAAGAATGGGTCAAAATTGCTTCAAGGAAGAGTCGATGCATTTTTAGTTATTCTAGATTTTGACTTGAATATACAAAGAGTATCTATTATTTTCCAGGGTGGATTCCATGCTGGACATAAATCAAAGTTTGATGACAAATGGATGTCATTTCCAAAGAAATCAGGTAAAATGAAAAAAGATATTACTTCCAATTTAATCCATTATAAGTTATCCGTTTATGAAAAAAAGTTTAGTTTAAACATATTTATTTCCCGAATATTTACATGATATACATAATACAATACAATCAGAATACAAATATATAACATATTCAAAGAAAAGGATGAGAACAAAAGACTAAGTCTTATAAAATTCTTCTCCTTAAAAAAGTTTGATACAGTTTAATAAAATTTATAGTAAAATAATGAATTTACTCTATATTCCAAATGTATCTATAGTTCTTTCAGCATTAATTAGCATTATGGTTCATTTAATTTCCTGAAAAAAAAAAATGACATGTGAGACAGCATTATATAAAAATTCCTTGGATCATAAGGGGATAGAAAAGCTATTAGATATTGAAAACCATTACTTCAAGTCTTGCTAGTAGTTTCAAATTTTATTATATTTCCTACGGCTTCCAACTTCGGAAATCTCGTTATTGTATCAGTCAAATGTCTATATCGAGGGGTGAAAGCGAAAGAGGTCCAAGTGACATTTTTTCAGAAAATCACTTTTTTATATAAATGTGTTTGAAATCTGTATATATATCTTCTGTGAAAAAATCTTGAACACAACACATTCATTTTTATATATATTTAAAAAATACGAAAAAAGACTAAGTGAAATATGAAAAACATTCAATGCGAAAAAGG